AGAGAGAGAGAGAGAGAGAGAGAGTGAGAGAGAAAGAGAGCAGGGGGCAATGCCTCCCCCGTGAGCGCAGAGAGTCCTGCTCAGACTGCAGCTGCGCGGAGGTGCGGTAGTATGTTGCTGCCCCCCCCCCAACCCCCGGTGTGGTTGTGCGGCCTATTGTCGCCACAAACCCTGGTGTCCATCAGACTGGCACGGGTACAAATCCAAATCCCGACTGTATTTTTGCATAACGCCAAGAGAGCACGCAATACAAAAGAGGGGTGTGTTTTCTCAAAATAGTAACATACAGCAAAACCTTTGGCATAGCATTAGCTGGCCCATTATCTTGTATCAATGCATGTCGAATTATTTAAAGAGTCAGCTGGAAAATACCCGCCAAAAAATAACTTATTTCATTGCCGTTTCGCGAGTGACATGCAGCCGCACCCATCCATCTTATCTGCGCTAACAACCGCAAAGTATATGGAGGAAACGAGGTAAACAACAGTTTCATGTTTCATGATCAACACAACCACCCAACCAGGACGACCAACTTACGCATGTCCTCGAAGGGACCTTTGATGTCCAGGTACTCTTCGGTGTCGATCATGTTGGCCACCTCCTCGGAAGAGAGCCCGTAGCACAGCGGCTCGAAGTACTCGCAGATGACAACCATGGCCGCCCTGCGGAGCGACGGCGGCTCGTTCCTCAGCGGCATGGCTGCGGCTGAGGACTGGCGGGGACGGTACGGTCCGGCTCAACTCAACGCCCGGCGGCGCACACGCACGTCATGGGGTGAGGGAGGAGGGGTGTGGTGCGAGCGGGGCTGAGCGGGGCCCAGCGGCACCCAGCACACCGAGTGCGGCAGGCTCTACGACGGGCGGCACCTCCGCGCCGGAGCGACGCGAAGCAGTGCGAGGCCCTGGCGGCACCCAGCCGCGGCCGCGCAGCAACCGCACAGCCACGCCGGCCGGCGGAGGGAGTATTTATAGACGCGACAGCTTCGCGGCGCCCCTCACTTGCCGTCCTGTCCCGGTCTTACTCTCTCCCTCTCTCCCTCTCTCTCCCTCTCCTCATCTCCGCCTCTCCTCATCCTCCCCTCTCCCCTAACTCTCCTCCCCCTCGCCCCCTATCCGCACCCTTTCTCCCCCCCACCCCACACGTCTACGTCACTCGTCACTCCCACCCCTAAATCCCAAGCGTAAGTACACGCCGACGGTGTCGCACGTCGGCGAACGGATAGGAGACATGGAAACAGAAAGTGCTCCGGTTGATGGGAGAGTTGAAATCGTTCACATTCCACGCTCCAAACTTTTATTTTCGCATGTGGTTGTCGCCTCGCTTGTCGGCGAGAGCAGAGAAGGGGAAGAATAAAGGAAGGGGGGGGGGAGGCTCTATTTTAACAAGTATTTTGCCGCTCCCCCTTTACATGGAAGAGCTAGGAAAATCCCTCACCAGCCTGCTCTACTTCCCCTCGAGACCACATCGCTCTTAATTGACAGCGTCTTTCGTTATTGTTAGGGGGTTGGAGAGTAACATCTTTCATCCATCTTCCCGGTTTTGCATCCAAAGGTAGCATCCCACTCGCACACAAACATAGAGGGTGATGACTTCGGCCGATGTACGGTACGCGCCTGAAAGCTAGGCCGCACATTGGGCGGACCCGTCCGAGGGGTTGCCCGGGAGCTAATCGGGCTGGCGTCATAGGCTGAGCTGGCAAGCGCTAGCCGTCAAGACTGGGGGAAGGGGGGAGCAGTGGACACAAATATTGGGGCCTGGCGACGACACCGTTTGAGCAAGCGCGCGGGCGATCTTAGAGCCTCCCCGGGACAACAAGCGAGTCCTGCTCGCTCACTTAGCCGAGGGTTTAGCGCGGCCTATCGTCCGACGCGAGCGCTGACAGGGACGAGGATGACACAAGCCGAGCGCACCGGGACCTAAGCACTGAGGGCGTGAGGGCGCCGTGGCGGTGACGGTGGCGGGGGCGGCGCGGGTGAGGGAGATGGCAGGGGTGGCGGGGGCGGGGGTGGCTTGGCGCCGCGACGAAGCCGATGGGTTGCCTACATCGCCGCTGGGGCCCCCAGGCCCCCGTGGACAGGCTGTAATGAGGCAGGGGAAGGGCGAGTCTCACCCCACCCGCCCCCCACACACATCAGCCTCGGCAACCCCCTGCTTCCGCCCCCGGAGCTCTTTAATGAAATTTGTTCGTCGGATGATGCAGGCGTGCCGTGATGAGCCCCCCCGCCTCCGGCCGCATCCCTTGAGGTCCATGACGCTCGGGCCGGGCCGACACTGCGTGAGGCGTAAGGCGAGCCTAGAAAGAAGAAGCAATTTCTTAGGACTTATATGGGACCTATCAGCACAGCATTTTATTAAATTAACGTTACACAAAAGTGAATGGATTAGTATGCAATTTTGTTCCCGTGACTGAAAGCGAATATGAATGACAACAAAGATTTTGTTGTCTGTCCTGACCAGACCATAGTCAGCAGGGAGCAACATGACGTTTGACAGGTCGGGTGACAGGTGAGCGTGGCTGGCCCTGGCGCGGCGCGTCGAGGCGGCGCGGCGTGGTCCCGGCGTGGTTCGCGGGGCGGCCGTGCGGGAGCGCTGGTGTCGGCCTGCTCCGCCTGCTCTCGCGCGCCGCCCGCGCGGCCCCGGCTCCCCCCGCCCGGCCCGCGCCCGCCCGACCCGCCAGGGATGTTATAGCGTACGATATTATCGTACGCGTACGATAATTTCGCCCCTCCGTACGATGTACGATCGTGACCCATTATCGTACGCCAAATGTACGATAATTTCGGCTTGGACCGATTTTACCCTATAATTGCTTATGTATGGCTCTCGTAAGGTGCTGAATCTCTATCAGTTTGAATAGAATTCCATTTGCCGCGCGCAAGCTCGCCCCCCTCCACCCCTCAGCAACAACTCCGCAAGAGAGAAGCATACCTAGCGAAGAGAGAGAAGGAGGGAGAGGGACGAGGGACAGCGGGTGGAGGAGGGGGGAGTCTGGTGCCCAGCCCCCACCACCGCTTCGTAGCCAACCTCTGAGTGAGAAACGCAGCCTCAAAACCTTATTTTCTCTGTAACTAGCAACCTTGTACCTACGTAGAAACACTTATAATACTTTAAAATTATAAATTTTACGTTTTTGGGGCCAAAATTGTAGTTTTTTTGAAATGTACGATAATTTTGACCCTGCGTACGATAATTTCGGAAGGCTGGTACGATAATACGCTGGGAGCCGTCTAACATCCCTGCGACCCGCCAGTGTTTCGGTTGCTCCGGTGCGCGCCACACTCTGTCGTTGTCCATGCGCCGCGCCCCCGACCCGACGTAGCCGGCCCGCGTCTCGTCGCGCAGCCCCCGACCTCGCAGTCCCGGACACCGAGACCATGGCGGCCAGCTCGACAGAGTCCTTCGGCGCGCCGCCCTCGGGGCTCGGCTGCTTCAATGGAGGCCTCCTCAAGCCGGCGCAGGACAAGTTCGGATGGGCGACCGAGGTGATGGCCACCGCCTCGACAGAGGGCTTCTGGGAGGATGACCCCGAGGAGCAGGTCAAGAAGAAGGTGCTCGAGCTCAAGACCAAGTTCCACATGGGCCGACAGTTGCAGATCAAGCACCTGCCCCGCGACGTCACCGAAGAAGTAAGTGTAGTAGACGCGCGCCACTGTGCTGGCCCAGTCGCCGACCTCCAGGACGGTCCCGGAGGCAGGCTTGCCGCTCGGGAGGGATCCGGCGGGGACCGGGAGAGGCCGGGAGGGGGCCGAGGGGGCTGGCACCGCACCGCGCAGCTCCGCGCACCTCCGCGGCTCTGTAACGGTTACTTGACCGCGCCGTAGAGTTCGTTGCACGCTGAGCTGAGGCGGCCGCCGTTTCGCGGAGTAAGGATCTTCCTCTCCCCCGCTCCCCCTTGCTTTGTATGGGCGGGGGGAACAGAGTGCACCGTCCGGCCCCATGTCGCCCCCCCCCTCTTCCCTAGGGGAGTGCCCGAGGGGGACCCGGGACGCGTCACACCGGACCCCGGCAGCATCCCCGTCCGCGGGGATGCCCGCGGTGAGCGACCAGGGAGGGCGATTCAACAAGTGTGTGAGTGCGGGTTCGGCCCTCCCCCTCCCTCCCCAGATCGCGCCTGGATGCCGAATCGAAGGGGCTCGTCGACCAGTCACCTAGTCACCTACACACTCCTTGGGTGTTCTGTCCGCCGCGGTCGCGGGGGTGGGGCACTTACTCCAGTGGTGGGGCAGCCGACCCATGAGAGGTGCTCCGAACTCGCCGTCGCCTCCTTTGACCTCGAGTGATTAATCTTGATCCCGCAGGCTGCGGGCGCCTGCATGCGATGCGGCTCTGGGGTCTCCCTACCCCTCCCGGCGTGATGCGCACGCGGGCGCGGGCTGCAGGACCCGCCAATATAAATA